TTTCAACCAGACCTCCTGGTTTAGCTTAATAGTAGTAGTTTATTTTACTACTTCCCCCAATTTGTTTCCCTACAGCCAGCACCACCCTCCTACACACACACACACACACTAAAACATGTTAGATAAGAAATGAATGATGATAAGAGATGTTGTTTAGACAAGATATTACATGGTGACCTTTCCTAAATGGCTACTATAGGACTTTAAGCTTTGGCTTTGAAGCTGGAAAATTAATACTACAGTTTCCCCACAGCACATAGTAAAATTGAACAAATCCCTCTACCTTTTTCTTTAGACAGAAGTCATGAATTTAATAATGTGGCAGGTTTTCAAAATCAAAAGTTCTTTTGGACTTGTTTTTCATGCAGCCAGCTAAGGCCACTGTGATATAATGGGAGGATTATCTTGCCAGCCAGAAGGATTTTAAATGTCACCAACAGTTATGAGACAAGGCCACACTGTTCAAAACCAACTTTATTAGACAAAAAAGTAGAGGTAGGATTTTTAATCTGGCCAGTTATTTTTAAGTTAATAATACAAAAGAAAGGCTCTCTTTCCATCAAAATTCCCCTACCTACCACCAAGCTTATAATTCTTTGGAATGGCGACTCCATCAAGTGGTAAAACCGGGAGCAAGCAAGAAATTAAAATCCCAGATTCCCAGACATCCACGCCTCTCCCCAGATTTGAAGTTCATTCTGAGAAAAAGCCAGTGGCAAGAAGTGTTGGGGAGGAACAGTCAACTGTTAACCCAGGGCAGCGACATGAAGACAGTAAGTTACTTACCCACACGCTGAGAGCAGCCCCCAACCTTGGGGGTTGCTGTGGATCCCAGAGCCCTGGCTTCCCACCTTCACCCCACCCCTAACAGTCCCAGCCCATCAGGGGCATATGTTCCCTTCTTCCTGACTTACAGAGTACCATTCTTTCATTGTCTTAAAGATCAGTTCTGTAGATAGCCTTATGCCGTAGGTACTCTTCTAAACACTGAAGAGCATTATCATCCACCTTTGGGTCAAACTTGTTGGCGAACAGGTGATGGTTCTGGAGCATCCAGTGCAGGTCCCCAGCCCCATAAATACAAATGGCGCGCTGATGGATTCCAGAGCAAGGTTCATAAGGTGCCCCCATGCTGATGTTGCCTTCATGGTTCTGCCACTTAACCAGCCGGGCAATCGCAGCCATGTCTGAGATGTGAAACTTGGAGTGATAGGGGACAGAGCCAGGCATCCAGGGTGCACGCTGAAGGGTAGCCCAGAGGTGTTCATCAGGGCTGTACGTGTCTTTTGCCCATTCAATTAGTCTTCGGGATTTAGGGTTCTCTAAGACTTGTTGGACAAAGGCCCGAGAAGCCACCATATAAGCATTCCCTGTAAACATGGGCAAATTTTCAGGGGGTGGGTCCTTCAGCTTGTTGGTTTGGTACAAGCTGTCTGTCACCTCAAAGTGATATCTCCAGCGATTTTTTTTGTACTCACTAGGTATTTCTGACTCCATGCTGTTCTTCCCTTTCAATATCTTGAGGGCCAGGACCATCTCTGCGTTGGTCTTTATAGGAAAGTCTGTCCCACATGTGTTCAGGAAGTACTTCCATGGCACGGGGCTCTTCAGCAAGTCTTCCATACAATTCAAGTCAGCCTGTACCCTGGACCAGGAGGCGTAAACCACCCGAACTAACTTACTGGCCAAGAAGACATTGGGGAAGCAAGAAATTATTGCTTTGACTGCCTGTTTGTAGGTTTCTGATGACTTCTCATCCACGTGCACACAATATATGTTCTGCGGGACATACACAGCTCGCAGCAGCCTTTCAAAGTTCTCAATCTTCTCATGGATCACCATAGAATATGCAATAGGGAAGTCTAACTCTTCTTTGCTCAGTGGGAACTCCATGAACTTCCTGTTGGCCTTAAATTGCTTACAATCTTTGGTCATGTTGATGTAATCAGTGTCTGTAAGAGGCACCCGCTTCTTCTTCATCTCCAGGTTGTTCAGAAGAGCTTCGATCACTGCATCCTGGTCTCCTCGGATAATTCTAGAACAGTTAATAGATCTTTGTGCTGGCAGTTTCAAGGAGTTGTACAAGCTGTCCCTACAGTATCGGCTTTGAAAGCCTGTGGAGTCCAGGTCCAGGGAACTAAAGTCACATTTCAATCGTAGAGTGAGTTTTAGAGTAACAATGGCCAGCAGAACATAGCAGCACAGGGCCCACAGATAATGCTGCCGGCAGACTTTCTTCTTCCACCAAATCATCTTCATGGAGTGAGTTTGGCCTTGGAATAGGAGGAGGAGGGTGGAATCCTTGAATAGAACAAAACACCTTCAATTACAAAAAGTCTCCAAAAAAGCTCCAAGGAACATCGGATTCAGCTCCAACATGATGACAACATATTTCTTCTCTAAACAATATCTTTTTCAAAACTGACTTAAGGGCTCCCCTATACCTGGTTTTCAGATAGAAGCCTATAAACTGACCCTGCAAACTAGCTGATAACGTCTGGGTGAACAGTTTCACCTCCACTGTAGCAGAAGGACAAGAAAGCCTGCTGACATAGAGGAGTAATAACTCTGAGGAAGTCCCACCCTTCCTCATTCTTTCCTCCACCCCTTACCACTGTGTTTCAAACATAGCTCTTATCTGGGCCATAGAAATTTCGATTGACTTAAAGAAGAAAAAAAAAATCCTTCGTATCCACACTCCCTGCATCGGTTCCAGAAATCCAAAGGTCCTTTTAAAAGAAAGATTTCTTGTTCTTACTTTGAACGTTACTAGGGTGTTTACACTACATATAGTCATTGGTTAGGTGTGATATGTAGCTTCCTTTCATAAAAGTAAAATCCTTCAGGACTTGGAAGGGAGGAGGCTCAGTGAGAGAGTATGTGTTTTGCATGTATGAGGCTCTGGATTCAATCTTTGAAAACACTTAACCCATCTCAAATAAATTATAAAAGGATTTTTAAATTACTGAAAAGGAGGAAAGAAAAAATGTACTGTAATATTTCATATAGAGAACTTCTGGTCTCTATAAATGTAATCTACACACAGTGGACTGGAGAGATAGTACAGGGGTGACGTACTTGCCTTGCATGCAGCCGACCTGCGTTCGGCATCTCTATGGTCCCCAACCCCTGCCAGGTGTAAATGTAGATCCAGGAGTAACTCCCTGAGCATTGCCGGGTGTGACCAAAACTTAAAAAAAATTTAAAAAGGAAAAAAGGATAAGAAACACACAAGAGCCCAGTTTATACAATAATGGGTGCATTCTCTGTACTGGAAGTATTTCCTCATATTGTCTTTTTAATCTGCACAGATTAACAAGAAATGAGCTTTTCCCTTTAGAAAAACAAAAACGAAATAACTTGCCAATTATCATATAGGTTATAAGAAGAAAACCTGGGACTCCTCACTCTTCTCCTTCATTCTGTAAGCCTAGAAACTTGTCCCTAAAGAGAACGGAGAGATAGTACCAGTAGGTAGGGAAGGCATCTTGCATGCAGCCCACCCGGATTCAATCCTCGACATCCCATATGGCCAGGAGTAAGTCCTGAACAACACACCCAGTGTGGCCCAAAAACCAAAAAAAGAAAAAAGAAGAGACTTATCCCCCCAAACCACAATTACACAGCTATACAATACAGAGTATCAAAAACCATAAGAGAAAAACAACCCTGAAAGAAGAGAAACAAAATGTGAGCCAGCTGTCCTCTTTCTAAGCATCTGTCTCCTGGGTGACAATCCTCATAGGAATTTAAAGGAAAGGGGGGAATGAAGGAAATTCTCACCTTTGTTTCTTTCCTGATTATGGAAAAGGTCCTATTAAGATGTGATTCTCTTTCCAAGGGAAGACTGAGTGGGTTCCAAGGAAGCAAATATGATCACCATATCCCCTGATATCCTTTTAGTCCTTCCGAAATAGGATTTCTGAGAGGCACAAGGCATCCATTTAGGGCTCAGAGCACAGACTCAGGCTCCTCCAAAGTCACTTCAGAGCAGAGAGCAGCAGTGGCTGTTGTTCACCTTTGGTTTCTTGCCCTTGGTGAAGCGGACAAGCTTTGATGTCTCCTGCAGAAGGAAAGTCTAAAGGATGCTGAGTGAGGCAGGAAAAACTGCAGTCAACGGAGAAGGCAGAAGCAACCCAGGCCCTCCACTGTGTTTGTCACCCTGCTCTTCTGATCCAAACCAATCACAAAGTCAGGCACATCAGGTCTGCCCCACCAGGTGGAGTATCTCTGGGGTGTGGCCCAGGAGCCTTTCAGTACTGACTGCAGACTATTTAAAGAAAAACAAGGAAACAAATGAACCAAAAAAAAAAAAAAAGAAAGAACGAAAGAAAGAAAGAAAGAAACAGTCAATGCTCATCCAAGAACCAAAAAGTTCCTCCGCTTAACCAGGAACCATAGGAACTCACAGCTGTGTTCCTCCATGCTTCATTCCTCTTATTCTTCCTGATGATCACAAAAGCAAACTGATGCAAAATACACTTTAAGGACACCTATATTAATAGTATATATTAATATATGATAATATATTGATTATGTATATAATTACAGGGCCAGTAAGAGGGTATAGTAGCTAAGGAGCTTGCCTTGCACATGACTGACCTGGGTTTAATCCCCAGCACCTATATGGTCCCCCAAGCACTGCCAGGGTGATCCCTGTTTTAGGAGCAAGTCCTGAGCATCATCAGGTGTGGCCCCAAAATTTTATATATGCCCCAAATTTATATATATATATGATTATTTTTTGGTTTATAACCATGAACTGGGCTGGAGCGATAGCACAGCGGGTTGGATGTTTGCCTTGCACGCCTCAGACCCAGGTTCAATTTTTTCGTCCATCTTGGAGAGCCCGGCAAGCTACCGAGAGATCCCGCCGCACAGCAGAGCCTGGCAAGATCCCCATGGTGTATTCAATATGCCAAAAACAGTAGCAACAAGTCTCACAATGGAGACATTACTGGTACCCACTTAAACAACGGGAGGACTGTGCTACAGTGACAGTGCTACAGTGCTTATAAGCATGATGTTAGGTGTTTGCACATATGTGCGACATGTTCCTCCCTTAAATCTTGTTATACACTTGATACATTAACGACCTGACATGAAAAAAAACCATAGGGCTGGAGCGATAGCACAGCGGGTAGGGCGTCTGCCTTACACGCAGCCAACATGGCCGACCCAAGTTCGATTCCTCTGCCCCTCTCGGAGAGCCCGGCAAGCTACCGAGAGTATTCGATATGCCAGACACAGTAACAACAAAGTCTCCAATGGAGACGTTACTGGGCCCGGTGGAGCAAATCGATGATCAATGGGAGGGCCTCGAGCAAATATATATACATACACACACCATAGAGTCATATGTTCCCTATAAATAATATATTTATGCAGATTAGCATAGAAAATTTTAATACAAAGCTGGGTTTGTTTTGCAAATAGCAACTGCTGGGGGTGACTCACCTGCCTGTCCTTCGATGACTGGTATCACCTACATATTGTACATTTCGGTGGGTTTGCAGGCTGACCGCCCCCTCACAAGTCAGTGGCTGAAAGTGAATGGGGAGCTCTCAGGGCAGCAAGACCTTGAGAGTCCAGGGGTGATGTTGGCAGCACAGGGGAGGAGGCAGATCTGCAGAGCAGCTGCCAGCCCACCCCAGGGACTCTCCCCAGCTGCCGCTGGCCCGGGAGCAGCATTCCTGGCGGCCGGGTGGTGGAGGAACCACGTGTTTGATGCAGAGACGAGACCGAGAGGTTAAGTGAACAGCTGGGAAGGGGTAGGGATGACAAGGAGAAGGGTGCACAGTGTTGCTTGGTGAAGGAGCAGTTGTGGGAAGGAACCAGAGGTCTGGGGTGGGGATGCCCAGAGAGTCGAGAGTCACAGAGTTCGTGATTGGGAGGGGGTGCATGCACTGATCGCACACCTGAGAAACGGCAGCACTCTGCTCAACTGCCGCAGGGTCTCCCTGGAGGCAGGGAGGACCCCCACCCTGACCTACGCTGGCAGTCAGCCCTCTCCAGAGGCCTCGGAGTCAGCCTGGCAGCCCGACTGCACTAAGCACACTCAACTTGCGTTGACATGGCAATGCCCTGGCAGGAAGTCGATGGAAAGCCACAGGAAGTCCCGCCTCCAGCCCTGAGCTGAAGCTCTCTGTAGTGCCCCCTGTCGGGAGGGCGTGGTAGTAACAGTTAGGCTTGCAGAGACCCGAGAGCTGAAGAGAGGGCTTCAATCCCAAGGTGTAACATCATTACAGAGCTGAGCTGGGGAAAGAGAGGGTGGGTTCCTCCACCAGTTGTTCACAGGGTCCCCCATACAGCGCAAGGATTTCAGGTCACTGCTACCTGACACTTGCTCTGCCTGTTGCTAAATTCGGTGGTGGCAGGTCAAGGGAAGGGATGGTGGAAGGGGCGGAGGAAGGGCATGTGTCCATGTCCACTTCGTCTGATTCCATTCCACCACCTTGGTCTTCCACCAGTTCCAGCCCATCACATCTGAGTGACGTTTGAGCTGTGATGTTATGAAACTTATTTTGAATAGAGACTAAACATGCATGTGCATGAATCTGGAGAAAACTCCAATTTCTTGAAATCTGACTTTTGTTTGATGATTCCCTCGAAGTCCTGTTTTTGATTTTAAAAAAAATGACAAATGCACATCTGGGTCTCACGGTAAAGGGAACGCATTTTGAATATTTTTAAAGTGATTGGAACAGCCATCCACTATGATGAAATATATGCCAATATGCTTTTAAGAAATTATGGATATATTTTGTTAATAAGTATTAAAGACCAGAGCCATAGTGCAGCAGGTAGGGCACATACTTTGACAGTGGGGTGGGGGTGGGAGGGAGAGACAGACTCTTCTGTGCCTCTGTCATGCAACTAAAGGTCAGGGGAGTTGCTGCAAGTCTTGGAAACTTTAAAAAGGCAGGTTATTTTAAGTTGGGAGAAGTTCTAGAGGCTGAAAAAGAACTCCTACTTGTATCTGAGTCATTTGCACATTTCCTAACCAAAGAAGAATCACTGCTCCCTCTATTTATTTTATGACCGAAGAGTATAATTTAGGGGTTATAGTCCATTCATATACTGCTTATCAATGAATTTGTCCTCCCTTTCTGAGAAATTGAAACTGTCCTCCCGTTGTTCATCGATTTGCTCTGTCCTCCCATCGTTCATCGATTTGCTCGAGCGGGCACCAGTAACATCTCACAACAAAATGTGAGACTTGTTGTTATTGTTTTTGGCATATTGAATACCTCACGAGTAGCTTGCCAGGCTTTGCCCTATGGGCAAGATACTCTTGGTAGCTTGCCGGGCTCTCCGAGCGGTGCGGAGTAATCCAACTCAGGTCGGCCATGTTGGTTGCATGCAAGGCAAATGCCCTACCCGCTGTGCTATCACTCCAGCCCTTCACTATGAGTAAACTGTTAAAATGCTATATCCACCATATACAGGAGATCTTCCCCTACTCCCTTCTTAAGGCCTCAGTTTCTTTAGCACAGGAAAAAATATTGCAGATCCACCATATTTATAAATATCTGTGAAATTGGTAGCCATGCAAATTCTCCATGTTATTGATCTGTTTTTCTTTTTTTTCCTGCCTTATAGCTTTATTCTTTATGTTCATTTTTTATTAGATGATTTTTTTTGCTAGTTTGTGGATGCCTTTTTTAAACTACCCTTTAAGCCTAAAAAGAATCCAAGAGAGCGAAGAATTTTGCCCCTGCACCTATTATGTGAAGGAGTCAGGATTTATACTGTCTTTAGGGCTATAAGAACTTTCCATTCAAGGGCTGCAGGGATAGCACAAGAGCCAAGGTTCTTGCTTTGCTGGAATCTCTGGGAGAGACCCCTGAGTACAGAGCCAGAAGCAGCACCTGAGCATCACTGGGCTTGACTCAAACACTGTTTCCCTATCCCTACGCCATCCCTTCCATTTTGTACATTTCCTTGTGAAGACTTTCTACTTGCAAGATGCCATTATAGTCAGATAGACAGGGGAGCTGGTAACAATTTAGGAAAGTTTAGGAAATAATTAAACTAAGAAGAAATTGCTTACCCTGAAGTAGTCCAAAGGCATGAAAGGCACATCCTTTGAGATGCAAATAAACTAAACTTGACATAGATGGAGAAACTGAGGCACAACCTAGAGAACTGTGGGCATTTTCAAAAAAGGAAAAGCCACAGAAGACTGCAAAGGTTGGGATAAGAATATGAAAGGAACATCAAGTCCAAGACTTGTCCCTGTGAAAACACCCAGATTAGCATTTTTTTAATTTGTTTTTGGACCATACCTAGTGATGCTCTGGGGTTACTCCTGGCTCTGCACTCAGGAATTATTCCTGTGAGGAGTCAGAAGATCATATGGGATGCTAGGGATCGAACCTGGGTCATGTGCATGCAAGACAAATGCCCTACATGCTGTACTACCTCTTCAGACCCCAGATTAACTTTTATGTATGTAGAGAACTCCATACCAAGATAATTTGAATAAATTGTTTCTAACCTTCTCCCAAAAGCAATTCTAGGATTTTTTCACTCTGGAGAAGCCTATATTCTCTCTCTTTAAATGTAGGAGTACTTCTATTTATTCAGTCACTGATTAAGCTGATTGAAGCAGGCATGAACTCCGCATTACTTTTTAAAAAGTTTTAAAAATTTTTCATAAAGTTGTTCACAATAATTGTTTACATTAAATTTTTCAACATTCAATAAAGACTAGTAAGAAGAAGCTGCTAAAATCTGAGGGCTGGGAAGAATAGAGACATTACTGGTGCTGGCTTGAGTAAATCAATGAACAACAGGATGACAGTGATACAGTGAAATATTTCAACACCATTCCATCACGATTGCACCTTTTCACCACCACTACTTTGAATCTTCCTACCACCATGCCAGCCTGCCCTTAGGAAGATGCTGAATAATTTATTTTGTATTGTTTACCATGAATAGTATGAGGTGTCACGCAGCCATGAAAGTGGCTGCGCATTCTTGGAATCCTAAAATTTTTAAATATTTGGGGTATGGAGGTATTTCTGTGACATGCTGCTCTCTTCCAAGAGGGCATTTGTTAGTCTCTGAATCATGGCTGTTAATGAGCTTAAATGGCACCCAGAGACAGTTTTTGGGTGAAACTGCCAGGAAACCGGGAGGGTGGGGAGACGGAGGGGAGGTCAGGTCACCTATCCTTGACTCCGTAAAACCTGGAGCTTTCAGTGACAGGTCTCATATACCTGGGATTTTTTACCTGTCCAGATTTTATACCTGTCCAGATCCAAAAAGTAACAACTAGATTAGCACCCTGATAGGATTAAGAAAGATTAAACTGCCTGAGCACTGTAGTCTGAGATCTATAGTGAGATGTACCCAGGAGAGTCACCCTTCAAGCTTACTGTGTCCATACAAAATAACTAATATTAAGAAGTAGAATTAAGATGTTAATTAAGATGTTAATTAAGTTATTGGACTAAGGAAAGGAGAAAAAACCCTTAAGTGTCATTTAACCCTTGGGTTGATCCCCTAGCTGCAGGGGGTCAGGAAGGGCTTTCATATGTTGATTGTGCTACCACCAAGGTGGGAAGTTGGTGAGAGAGGAGAGAGAGACTAAGGTAGTGAGTGGGGGCGCAGAGAATTGAGCGAGGGAGATGGTGTGAGACTGGAATGGGGGGCTTAGTGAGACTGGAACATTGTGAGCATGGGGAGAATAGAATAAACGGCAACTGATCACTAACCAGTTTGGCCCGTGTTTCCTCCTTCATCCACCCATGGCATCAACCATCCAGGGTGGAGAAGTGGCCCGAGACCACCGAACACAGGCAGTGAGAGAGAGAGAGAGACACAGGATTCCTAGTTGTTTAATGATTACACATTCTATGTCTGTCCCTTCCCTCTGACTCATTTCACTCAGCATGATACTCCATGTCCATCCATGTAAATGCAAATTTCACTATCACTATCACTATCACCCTGTTGTTCATTGATTTGCTCAAGAGGGCACTAGTAACATCTCCATTTGTCCCTGTCATGTGCCAGTGTAGCCCGATGGCATATTGGGGGCTCTTTCAGGGTCAGGGGAATGAGGACCATCATTGTTACTGTTTTTGGCATA